GGCGACCTCTTGGCGTTCGCGGCCAAGCATCCGGGGGCGCTGTCGGGCTACTTCCTGGCGATGGCGCACCGCAAGCTGAGCCACGGGCGCTTGTCGGAGACCAAGCAGCTGCGGCACGCGTCGGTGACGACGTGGGCTCAGGCGCATTCGGGGCTGAACGAGCTGCGCGACCGGCGCGAGGTGCAGACGCTGGCGCTCGTCATGGACCTGATCAACACGCAGGACCTGGCGACGGCGATGGACGTGCTGGCGCAGCGCATCATCGCGATCCAGCGGGCCAAGGCCAAGGGGGGCTCCTGGGAGAAGGCGGAGGCCGCGGAGTTGCTGGCGGGGACGGGGGGCGGGGTCGCTGCAGGCGGCCTCTTGAAGCTCACCATGTGACGAGGTGGCGGAGGGCGCGGCAGAGGTGGTTGCGCCGCGGGGGCCAGGAGTGCACGCTGGCCTCCGACTTGGTCGGTCTCGGCGACTGGCTGAGCTTCGCGGGTGGTCCCCTGGGGCAACCCCTGCGTCGTGGGCGCCTCGTTCGGCCTCGAGTCGTGGAGTTCGGGAAGTCTTCGCCAGTGATCTTCCCAGTCCTGCTGCTACGGCGCGGTGACGCTGAGCTCGCAAAGTTCGGGCGCGAGCAGCGGGGCGCAGTTTTGGTTTGGACAAACATGTGCATCGCCGCGCTCAACGATCTGCACGACGGGGACGGCGACTACACCACGGTGCCGACGCAAGCCCAGCGACGTGTGCAAGGGCGCGTGCTGACGGGCGCCTCCCGCCCCCTTGCGGCCGAGTTGGCTTGGCCGGAGGCGGCGTTAATTCAAGAGGTCTTGCGCCACTCCGACGGCTACGAGCCGCCCAGGTGCGTCGCGGAGCCCCTCGGCGAGCGTGGCGGAGTTCCTGACCGCGCCGCCGTCGTCGACCTGGCTGGGCTGCTGGATGAACACTTCCCTGGGCTTGCTCATCAGGTTCGCTGCCCCCGCTCGCTGCCTCTGAGCGTGGATCGGCGGCCCGCCAGGCTCAAGAGACCTCGCGCGCTGGCGGGGCCCACCTGCCCGAGCCTCGCGGCGCGCAACGTGGCGGCGGGCCTGCAGGGGTGCGGCCCCAAGAAGAGGGCGCGCAAACATCGTGGCGTTGCTCTCGTTGCTGGGCCCTTCGGCGCGAAGAAGTCGGGCGCGCAGCAGCGGGTGATCTCGGACCTGCCAGTGAACCAGCTGCTCGATCCTGACGCTCTTCCTCGGCCGACCTTCGCGCGCCCACCGCGGCCCCGCGTCGTCGAGACGCTGCCTGGCACGCGGGGTAAGCTCTGGAAGCGAGACCTGCGTCGCTACTTTCACCTGCAGGCGATCGGCAAGGCTTGGCGGAAGTACATGGCCCATCCACCTGTGCCAGACCCGCGCGGAGGAGGAGCCAAGGTTTCCCGTTCCACCACGCCGCGCCGATGGGCTTCGCTCCGTCGGCGGGCTGGGCGCAGGCGGCGTCCGCCACCGCGTTCCTGAAGGCAGGGCTGCCGCAGGAGCGCAGGGTCGCGTTCGACAAGCCCTGCCCTACCGAGCTGCCGCTCTGGGGGTCCATCGTCGACGACCTCTGGGCTCTGGGCGGGCGCTCTGCGGGCGACCGCGCGCGGAGCCGGGCCGCCTTCTGGATGACAAAGGCCGAGCGCGCCTGGGACCGCATGGGCGCGCCAGCGCATCGCGGGGCAAGTCTGTGGACGGCGGCGGCGGCGAGTTCCAGGGCACCGAGGTTCACCCGACGGAGCACTGGCTGGGCACCACCCGCCGCCGCCGCCTGGACCTCTTCGCGGCCACCCTCGCGCTCCTGGGCCAGCAGCTGGTCCACCGCAAGGATGCGGAGCGCCTGGTTGGCAAGCGCGGCTTCTGTCAGAGTTATCGGCCCTGCCTGCGGTCAACTTTTTCTCAGGTCTATGCGTGGCTGGAGCGCCTGCCGCTGCAGGGGCGCAAGGCAGCGGCGTGGTGCCCGTCCGCGTGGCACGAGGTGCTGGCGTCGGCCATCCTGCTGCCGTTCGCAGAGCAGGACCTGGATGCGGGCTGGTGCCCTCGCATGGAGTGCACGGGCGCCGCGCCAGGGGGGCATGGCCGGGCCTGGGCGACGCTGCCCCTGGACTCGGCGCAGCACATCGCCAGGTGGGCTGACCACCGCGCGCCCTACACCATGCTCGGCGACGGCTTCGGCGTCGACGTGGGCGTCGAGGGCCGCTGCAGCCTGGCCCGCGTCACGCTGCCGCCGGTGGGGCACTGGTTCAAGGTGGGCAGGCAGGGCGGCTACGAGCACATCACGCTCGAGGAGGCGCGCGCCAAGCTGCGGGGCATGGAGGCCCGACTGCATCGGCCCTCTGAGCTGGGGTAGCGAGTTCTGCATGCTGGTGATAACGCCCCCTGCGAGGGCGCCTTCATCAAGGGGCGCAGTGCCAGCCGCAGGCTCAACCGGCGCTGCCGCCGCGGGGCGGCCATCGAGCTGGCAGGGGGGTTCTCGCACTTCCACTTCTGGGCCTCGACGGGCAAGAACCTTGCCGACGAGCCCAGCGGCTGGCATGGGCGGGTCGCGCCAGGCGCGCGGCGGCGGGCGCAAGCCGCCTCAGCCGCTGCCCCGCCAGGAGGTGATCCCGCCGGCGCCGGCAGGCTGGGCACCCCGCGAGAAGCTCTTCCTGCGCTTCTGCTCCAGGCTGAGGCGCGAGGGCGACTTGTGCGAGATGGTCGAGCAGGAGGCGCGGGAGGCTGGCCTGGTGGTGAAGGCGCTGGCCTACGACCCCGTGGTGGACCCCGCCCGCGACCTGACGTCGCCCGCGCTGGTGCGCGAGCTGAGGGGCTTGTGCAGCAGCGGCGACGTGATGGGTTCCTTCGCAGGGCCGCCTTGCTCGACCGTCAGCCGCGCCAGGCATCGCGTCCTGCGCCGCGGCCCGCGCCCGTTGCGCTCTCGAGACGAGCCGCTCTTGCCCCTGCCTGGACTGTCAGAGACCGAGCGCCAGGCGCGCGCGCTGGGAACGCACCTCTTCCTCCTCTGCCTCGAGTTGTTCACCAGAGCTCATCTCAGAGGGGGCTGGGCAGGGCAGGAGCATCCACAGGATCCAGGCCGTCACCCCTTCCCGTCCTTCTGGAATGCTCAGGAGGTGGTGGAGTGGATCTCAGAGTTCGGGTTGCACGTCGTCTCGTTCGATCAGTGTCGGCATGGATCGATGTCTCAGAAGCTCACGTCCGTCGTCGCCAATGACGCCAGGGCCGTTGATGTCTTGGGGCTTCGCTGCAATCATCGACACCGTCATAAGGGTATCTATGGCCTGGCTCCTGGGGGAGGTTTCATCACCGCCCAGCTGGCTCGTTATCCTCCGCAGCTGTGCCGGGCTCTTGCTCGCTTGGCGGTCGGCGCGCTCGTCATCCATCAACCAGGCCAGAGCCATGGCCGACGACCATGGCAGGCGCCGTGGGCGCCTCATTACTTTCTTGATGAGTGCGCTGAAGCCGGTGACGACCGACAGGTACGCCGCCGCACTGTGCGCTTTCAGCTCTGACCTGGAGGCGCTGGGCTACGGCTCCCACGAGCTCTCTGAGGAGGAGCTCGACTGGTTCCTGGCTGAACGTGTGGTGGACCTGTTCGAGGAGACTGGCGGGGTGGAAGGGCTCGGGACGGCCTCAACTCTGCTGGCTGCTTTCGCGATGGCGAACCCTCGGCGCCACTGCCGCGCGGCCTGGAAGGCGCTGGATGTCTGGCGCGCCCGGAGGCCGCCTCTGCAGGCGCGCTGCCGGCGGTGCTGGCGCTGGGCATCGTGAACTGGCTCGTCTTGGCCGGGGAGTGTGGCTGCGCGGCCGCCGTGCTGCCGTGCTTCGCGGGCCTCCTGCGGGCGTCGGAGGCGCTCTCGCTGGACGGCCCGACCTGGAGCAGGACCACCTCCGGCTACGTGGCGCTGCTCGGCCGCGCCAGGGGGGGGGCAGAGCAGAAGGTCCTGTTCGAGGAGCCGTCCACCGTCAACTGGCTGGACCACTACATGTTGCGTTTTCCCGCCAAGGCGGGGCAGAAGTTGTGTCCGATCTCGTGCCCTCGGCTCCAGCGGTGGCTCCAGAAGGCCGCGGGCGCGCTGGGCTTTGGCGCCGCGCGCTGGACGTCCCACGGGCTGCGCCGAGGCGGGGCCACCGAGCTGCTGGCGCGGGGAATCCCCTCCGGCAGACATCATGATCTTCGGGCGGTGGCTCTCGGAGAGATCGGCGTGCGAATATCTGCGTCGTGGGGAGGTGAGCCTCACTCGTTTGCGTGTGGACATTTCTAATTATTCCTGGTCTCTTGCCTACAGATACTGTTCAGTTGGGGCCCAGGTGTGGGCTGTAGTCTGAATATCAGTGCGCCTTCTTCTTCCCTGATTGGCGTTTCGAAGCTGTCGCTGGATAGGGGGCGGTGGCGAGGCATTGGCCTGCGCAAGCTTGCTTGATTCGGTCGCGGCCGCATCGCACCTTTGAACAAAGTCAGGGATGCCTTGCACCGTGTCTTTATTCCAGTACGCTTCGCGTGCGCCCTCCCATGATAAGGGTCGGAGAGTTGCTTGTAGGTGACGTTCTGAAATAGATGGAGCATGCTGGATGGTTCTCGGAACGCCAGGTCTCTCATCCGGCCTCGTCTCGACTATCTCTGTTAACTGTTGGCCCCGCTGCGCTCCCACCCACCCGTGGTGGTCACCATGCAACAGAGTGGAGTGCGCGGGCCAACGCACTGCTCCTCTTGGCGAGGCATTGGCCTGCGTAAGCTTGCTTGATTCGGTCGTGGCCGCATCGCACTTTTGAACAAAGTCAGGGATGCCTTGCACCGTGTCTTTATTCCAGTACGCTTCGCGTGCGCCCTCCCCTGATAAGGGTCGGAGAGTTGGTTGTAGGTGACGTTCTGATCTGTATACATATATATATATATATGTATATACGCATATATATATATACACTGGATCAAACAGTAACGTTTAAACATGATGGCATGTAGGTGTCTCGGCGCCGATGCCGACGTCCTGTCCTTCCCAGGATGGTCCTGCTTCTCTGGCCGTGGATGTCCTTCGCGCCGCGTCGGCTGCGCGTGGCGGCTTGCGGGCTGACCGCGGAGCAGGCCTCCGCCACGTAGCAAGGAGCCCAGATCTCTGACGAGATCTCCGACCAATACATAGCACTCCGCAATTGCGGATATGAATGAGGGGGCGGCGGGGTCGTGGGCGGTCTGCGTAGCTCTGAGGAAGCCCGCCGCAGGCGCCGATTTTTTGAACATTTGAACACATTGCGCAGCAAGCCCGCCGCAGGCGCCGACTTTTTCGTCAAAGCAACGTGGGTGAGTCGCGGGTGGTCTTAAAAGTGGGTCGCGGGGTGGGTCGCGGGGGCGTCGCGGGCGAGGACGATGACAACAACGCAACGCCAACCCACACCGCGAAACCCCATGTCAGCCACGCGCCCAGCGACATTGAATGACCGTTTGGCCCCGTCAGTCTGATGTTGTTCCCAAGCCTCTCCCTGGCTGCGTTCTCAAAACAGAGCGCTGTGGTCTCCAAGGACCTCCTCATCCTCCTCCTCCTGCCTCCTTGCCTCCTCCCTTCTCCTCCTCCTCCCCTCCTCCTGCATCCTGCCTCCTCAGATTTCCGGCGATCTGGCGTTTCCTAGTCCCGCGGCGTTTCTCCTCGATTTCGGGGGCTCGGCTGCCCTGATGCGCACGTGCTGAGCTCAAAACGTCTCACGCGCGTGTTGGGCCACGTTTTGGCGAACGTGTCGCGCCAGAGCTACGTTTTCAATCTGCGTGTTGAGCTCCAGGTCAACATGCTACGGGTTGAATGTCATGTTCCTGGGCAGCCAAGTTTGGAGGGCTTCTTGGCTGTACATCGGCGATCGGAGAGGAGGCATCGGCACAAGCATACACGGTCAAGCAGGATCATCACCAGGATGGGTAACTGCCAAGATCTCCGACGACGTGTTTTTGTCATTCCTGGGAGGCCCCCCCGATCTCAGCCTGGGAGGCCCGTTCCAGGGCCTGGGGACCATCGCACACAGATCCATGGCGGACAATCAGGCCCAGGGAAGAGTCGCGACCTTTGGGGCTGCGCATCACAAAAATCTCATCGTGGGATGTCTGGAAGCGGGTCCTGAGGGAAACGTGTCCCGTGGTCTTCCAGCGCTTTCGGGCCCTCGGGGCTCTTCCTGGGCCCTGGGGCCGTCAAACAAAATTGCGCAGAGGGGGAGACTGGTCTCACCCCCCCCGGGGTCCAGGACTGGTTTCTGACAGGACCCGCCTCCTTCATGCCAAAGGTCTCCTGGTGGCGGTGGTTCTACAAGCGGATACTGACGGAGTGGGCCGTGGTGAACGGCCGGAACCTCTTCTCGAAGAGGGGAGGACGGCACAAGCATACAGAAAAAACATAAAACACATTTGAACCACAGAAAGGGCAACAACAACCAAAAACGAGAACACCCAGAACAAACACATACAACAACAGAAGAAAAAAAAACGCGGAGGTCCGCGCGGATTCCCCGACGCGCCTCGGAGGGCCTCGACGTGTGCACCACGTCGTCTTCTGGCCAGCGGGGCAGCCCAGGGCTTCGGCCAAGGAGCTCGGCGTATGGACGGTCCAGCGTCCCACGGGTTGGGCAGCCAGGGCGTCTGTACACCGAGCTTCTTGGCTGACCAGGCGAAGTGGTGCACACATCGGGCCCCTCCCAGCGCTCCGCACGCTCAGGACGGGGGCCGGCGCCGACCCGAGAAGTCCGCGCGGACTTCCGAAGACTCTACCAGGCAGCTGGGCACAGAGGTGGGAGAGGCACCGATAGCGCGTACCTTTCCCCCGTCGCCGTGGCTGGACGCGCTCCGAGCTCCTGGCCAGAGCGCACCCCATGGAGAGGTCCAGAGAGTGGCGGCGTCGGCACCCGTTTTGCCCCCCCCCCCCCCCCCAGCCCAGCTCCAGTTCCTTGGTCTGCCTGTGCGGCTTTCTCTTCTTCTGTGTTCGACATAGACCTCGAGATCGACGCGCAGGGCACCGCGCCCGCCGCCGCCGTGCCCTGGGCGCCGGCGGCGGGCACGCGTGCGGGTAGCGGGCGCCGGGTGCTGTGCCCCCTCGGCGGGGGGAAGGACAGCCTGGTCGTGTTCGAGCTGCTGCGACACCAGGTTGGGGAAAGAAAGCGCACCTCCAACCCAACCTGGGCCCCCTGGGGCTGCGACAAAGCGCGCTGGCTTCCGATTGTGCGGGTGCTGCGCCTTGAGAGGGCCACGAAACATCTACACCCCCGCCGCCTGCCCCCCCCCCCCCCCCCTTCTTTGAGGAGGGGGGCCAGGTGGGAGCGGGGGTACTCTTATGCTCCCCTAACCAGGGCGCCTCGGAGGTGTCCTGGCTGTACGTCGGCGATCGGAGAAGAATCATCATCGGCACAAGGATGCGGTCAAGCAGGATCATCACCAGGATTAGTATCCAGATCTCCGACCCGTTTTTTTCAGTCCCGGCGTGTTTCTTCGATTTCGGGCCCTGGGGCCCGTTCTCGGGCCAAGGGACCATTTGAAATTGATTTTTGGGAGGCGGCGCAACGCCCGTGGGGAAGGGGTCGAGACCTTTGGGGCCACGCACTGAAACAGTCTCATCGTCGGGTGTCTGGGTGAGGATGAGCTTTCCGAGAGTACCCTCCTCATCCTTCGTCGTTTGCATCTTACATCTTCGCCCCATCCTTGCATCCTTGCATATTCGCTCTATCTTGTCAGCCTCTGTCATCCTTGCATCGTCCCATCCTCAGCCTTCGTCGCTTGCCGCTCTCGCTCAGAAGGACTTAGGGCTTGGGCGTCCCAGGTCCCTTGCAACCCCCACCGCGCACTCCCACGATCCTGTCAAGCCATACGCATTCGGAGGCCCGCGCGGGTTTCTTTTGGATCAGCGCGCGCAGCGCGCCCGGGGCCTGCGTCGGACGCGGCGTTCCAGAAGAAGGAGGAGGAGGAGGAGGAGGAGGAGGAGGAGGAGGAGGAGGAGGAGGAGGAGGAGGAGGAGGAGGAGGAGGAGGAGGAGGAGGAGGAGAGGAGGAGGAGGAGGAGGAGGAGGAGGAGGAGGAGAGGAGGAGGAGGAGGAGGAGGAGGAGGCGGAGGAGGAGGAGGAGGAGGAGGAGGAGGAGGAGGAGGAGGAGGAGGAGGAGGAGGAGGAGGAGGAGAGCAGGAGGAGGAGGAGGAGGAGCACAGACCAAACCCATCGGGGGGTCCAACCCCTGGGCGGTGGCACGCCTGAGCGTCGCCTGGTTCCAGGTGGCGCTCCGCTCGGGCGTGCCACCGCCCAGAGGCCGCCCCCCTCTCCCCCCGATGGGTTGCAAGTGGCTGTCCAACTCCGACCCAATAGTCACCACCCACCAAACCACCCCAACCCAACCCGAAGGCTCAGATTTACCCTCGATTTCCAGTGGGGGGGGGTCGGGAAACATCGAAAAAACACGTGTGGAACCCTTACCCCCCCCAACCCGAAATTCGGGTCTTCGGGTTGGGTTGGGGTGGTCTGGTAGGTAGTCGAATAGGTGTGCGCTGATCTCACCTCCGAAAGTTGATGTTCGTGCCGACTTCACTTCTCCCAGGCGACGGGGTCGGGGAGTTCTCGGGCAGCCCGAGACTGCAGGGCATCGTCGAGGCCTCGGGGTCCACGTGCCTCGTCATGGAGCACGACTTCGGGCTCGACCAGGCAGGGCCCATTTCGATCCGATCCGATTCGATATCGATACTGGCCAGCCCGATCTGATTCGACTACGATGCTCCGACTCGTCCGATGCGGCCCGATGCTCGCGTAACGTTGTTGTGCATCTTGGCGCGGCCGATCTACTGTTTCGGCTCCTTGCCGATGCGGCCCGCTTCGAGAAACCATTTCGATATCCGATCCGGTTTCCCGGTTCGATGCTGCTGATGTTGCCAGGTCGCCGAGGTGAGGGCGCGCAGGCAGCTGGGCCGAGGCTTCAAGGTACAGGGCAACCCCTGGGCCGCCCTGGTGGCCTTCGACTCGGTGATCGTTGCCACGGCCCTGGGTTTCGACACCGTGGCCGTCGGGAACGAGCGCTCCGCGAACTTCGGCAACGGCGTGTTTCTGGAGGGCGCTGGAGAGCGCCTGGAGGTGAACCACCAGTTCGACAAGTCGCTGGAGTTCGAGCGGGCGATGCACCTCTACGCTCGGAAGTACCTGGACCCGGCGGTGTACTACTTCTCGCCCCTGCAGCAGCTCTGGGAGTCGCAGATCGCGCAGATATTCTGCTCGCGGCTGCGCTCCTTCCAGGGCCTCTTCATCTCCTGCAACAGCCTTGGGGGTTGCCAGAGGCGTTCCTGGCCCGAGGTACCCCCAGCTTTTCGCGCCCGCCTGGCCTCGTGAGCTGGTGCTGGGGAGGCCGCTGGGGCCTCAGCTGGAGATCCTGGGGCACCTTTCAGGAGGAAAAGAAACACACAGACACAATTAATCCTCGATTTCCCAGAAAATATGGGAAAATATGGGAAGTGGACACCTTCCCAGACCTCTGACCTCGTCATTTACTCGCAGCGCGGACCCCCAGAGGCCTCGACAGCTTCCCCAGGTCCAGCCCTTCATCCCGAGCCGCTTCTTCGACGGCCTCGGGGCCCGGCAAGGGCCCCCTGCTCCTCCTCCTCCTCCTCCTCCTCCTCCTCCTCCTCCTCCTCCTCCTCCTCCTCCTCCTCCTCCTCCTGGAGGGGCCAAAAATTGCCAAAGACCAGCCGTCGAGATCCCTTCGCGACGCGAGGAGGTGAGAGCACGTCCGATTTTCGACCCCCGTACCTCTCCTGGGGTGCTTTCTGGCCGCGGCGACGAGGAAGCAGCCGAGAGGACCACAAAAGCGTCCGAGCGCCTCGATCCTCGGTCTTCGAACCTCCCGGGTTGGGCCAGGGGCACTCCTCCCGGCAGCACCCACGGAGCCAGAAGCCAGGGCTCCCGCGAGTGGTGCCGCTCCTGCGACAAGTGCTGCTTCGTCTACGCGCTCCTGTCCTCGAGGAACAGCACAGCGGCACGGACGTGCACGCTCGGAGCCCTGCGCGGACTCCCTGGATCGACGCCCGGCCCCCCCCCCCTCCCTGGCGCACGGAGCGCGCCAGGGTTTTAAGTCGGGCATGTCCCTCTACAGCTGGGAAGTTCAAGAATAGTCAAGAATACAGTGGAGACGATCTTTCTGGCATTTCTGTATTATTTTTCGACCCCCTGGGCGGCGCTGGAGGCGCCGCCCTGGGGGTCGACTCGACGTAAGAGTGACCTTTCGCCAGAGTGACCTTTGGTGCGGGCCCACTGGGGCCTCCCGATCTCCGAACGCGAGGCGGCAGTAGCGTCTTGCGCGCTCGTGTTTGGCCCCCCGCGGCCCCGAAGAAGCCGCGCACCAGAGCTCACTCTAGCCCAGGGCCGCTCTTGCGTGTAGCCGAGGGGGTGCCCGGCGCCGAACCGAGGAATCCGCGCGGGGCGCCGAAAGTGGATGCGGATCGCCGCTGTTTGTCCCTCTGGTGTCCGGCTTCCTGGAGCTCGACGGCGCGGCGCGCCTCGCGGAGGCCTTCGGCGAGGACCTGCTGGACCGGGAGGAGCTCCTGCCCACCTTCCGCGGGCTGCTCGGCGCCCCCGGCGCCTCCCGGCTGCAGAAGCCGCTGGAGTGCGTGGGACCCTTTGGGTGCTGGAAGGCTCGCCGTGAGGCCGGCGGGCCCCGAGGGAAAAGACTGGTCCTGAGTATTTTTGTTTCGAGGTGGAGGTCAATCCAGAACCACCGCTTGGGGGATCGAGCTTCAGGGACCTCGGCAGGAGGTGGATATGGAATCAGTCGGGGCCCCTGGGGCCGAATTGTAGCCGATCCATACCTTCCGGCGGCGGATGTGGAACAATCCCTGCCTCGCTCTTCTCTGTGTTTTGTGCCTCCCGGGGCCCTCCGCGAGCCCTGGGGCCGTCAGAAAACGACTCGGGACGAAAAGCTGGTCCTGGGGGAAGGCCCCGGGGTCCAGTCGGCGGCGCGCACAGGGGGGGAGCCAGAGGGGGCGGGCCATCTCAGAAGGCTCAGCAGCCCCCTGCCTCCCAAGAAGCTGTCTGAGCCTTCTCCGAAGACAGAGGCGGCTTCCGAGAAGGCCAGGGGGCTTCTGAGAAGCCCCTCCGCCTTTGAGGAGGGTTGCCCCTCTCCCTTCCCCCGGGGTCGCCGCCGAGAATAATGAAAGCCAAGTGTGTCCTCGGAAGTCCGTCTCTAGAGTGCATTCGCATGCGCTGGCGTGCGCGAATCGACGAGAGAGCGCCGAGAGCGCCGATGAGGCCAAAAGGTCACCCCCCCTCACTTCCCCCGGCGCGCTGCCGATTCAGGACCCGTTTCCCTCCGGACCCGTCTACAGTGGTGGCCCATGCCAAGAAACACCCTGCTTGGCCCCGCGGGCCGCGAGCTTTTCCGCGTCCCGCCCCTCTGTCGTCATGGTCGTCGCCGTCCTCCCCCCCTCTCCTGCCTCGCGCTGGGTCACCTCCGCGCGGCACGTGACAAGCTCAGGGGTTGCAGGCTTGCTTCATCGAGTCGCGTTGTCGTGGTATGTATGTGCGCGTGTAGGTATAACAGCTTCCATACACAACCTAGCATGGCGTCTATGCTTATAGTAATATTTCGCACCATATAACAACACAGCACAACTGAAACATGGCATACCACAACACACTGCCTGCCTACCTGTATACATCCATCCATGTATCCATCCGTTCACACTTACATGCATGTATCTATACGTGCATACAAACATACACATATACATACGTAGCACCCGCTGTTGCGGATAAGAGTGAGGGGGCGGCGAGGATGTCGTCAGTCTGCGAGGCTTTGAAGAAGCCCACCGCAGGCGCTTATTTTTTACAAGTTATGCAGTGGGCCCGCCGCAGGCGCCGATTTCTTCGTTAAAGCAATGTGGGTGGATACATACACACACATATATACACATACATACATGCACATGCACACGTCCATCCATCCATCCATACATACATACAGTACATGCACGCGTGGAAACAAACATTCACACATACACCCATTCATTCATCCATACATACACATGAGCCCATCCCTGTATGCATAGTTTATACGTACACAGAAGTGTACATGCATGTGTATGTGGACATACATGCATACATGCATACATGCATACATACTTACATACCTACATATACGTAGCACCCCGCAGTTGCGGATAAGAGTGGGGGGGCGGCGAGGACGTCGTCAGTCTGCGAGGCTCTGGAGAAGCCCGCCGCAGGCGCCTAACTTTTCAAGTTATGCAGTGGGCCCGCCGCAGGCGCCGATTTCTTCGTTGAAGCAACGTGGGTGGATACATGTACACACATATATACACATACATACATGCACATGCACACATCCATCCATCCATACATACACACAGTACATGCACGCATGGAAACAAACATCAACACACACACCCATTCATGTATGCATACATACATACACATGAGCGCATCCCTGTATGCATCATTCATACTGTACGTACATATAAGTGTACATGTATGTGTACGTGGGCATACATGCATGCATGCATATACATATATATATATAAATAGATATACATATATATATATCCACACATACCTACATATACGTAGCACCCCGCAGTTGCGGATAAGAGTGATGGGGGCGGCGAGTATGTCGTCAGTCTGCGAGGCTCTGGAGAAGCCCGCCGCAGGCGCCTAACTTTTGTAAGTTATGCAGTGGGCCCGCCGCAGGCGCCGATTTTCTCGTTAAAGCAATGTGGGTGGATACATACACACACATATATACATACATGCACATGCACACATCCATCCATCCATCCATACATACACACAGTACATGCACGCATGGAAACAAACATTCACACGCATACATCCATTCATTCATCCATACATACATACACATGAGCGCATCCCTGTATGCATAGTTCATACTGTACGTACATATAAGTGTAATGTATGTGTACGTGGACATATGTGCATGCATATATATATATATATATATATATATATATGCTTAGCACCCCGCAGTTGCGGATAAGAGTGAGGGGGCGGCGAGGACGTCGTCAGTCTGCGAGGCTCTGAAGAAGCCCGCCGCAGGCGCCTAATTTTACAAGTTCTGCAGTGAGCCCGCCGCAGGCGCCGATTTCTTCGTTAAAGCAATGTGGGTTGATCGCGGAGTGGGTTGCGGGTGGGTCGCGGGTGGGCCGCGGGCCGGGTCGCGGATGGGTCGCGGGTGGGTCGCGTATGGGTCGCGGGTGGGTCGCGGGTGTGTCGCGGGGTGGGTCGCGGAGTGGGTCGCGGGTAGGTCGCGGGGTGGGTCGCAGGGTGGGTTGCGGAGTGGGTCGCGGGGTGGGTCGCGGGTTGGGTCGCGGGGTGGGTCGCGGGGTGGGTCGCGGTCGGGGCACGGGCGGGTCACGGGGTGGGTCGCGGGGTGGGTCGCGGGGTGTGTCGCGGGTGGGTCGCGGGGCGGGTCGCGGGGCGGGTCGCGGGTGGGTCGGGCGGGTCGGGTGGGGGACGACGACAACAACAACAAGCAGAACCTTCCCCGCGGATCCCCATTTCAGCCGCGCACCCGGGAACAAAGAATGAGCGTTCGGCCCCCTCGCTCAGACATATTTTTTTGGTGTTTCTCCTTCTCTCTCTCTCTATATATATATAGATAGATATACCTAGCACCCCGCAATTGCGGATAAGAGTGAGGGGGCGGGCGCGGGCGACGCGGGCGTCGTCGAGCCGGCGGACCTCGTGGCCCCCACCTTCCCTATCGATGGCGCTATCCTCCTCTTCCTCCTCCTCCTCCTTTTCCTCGTCCTCGTCCTCGTCGTCATCGTCATCGTCATCCTCCTCCACCTCCTCCACCTCGTCCTCCTCCTCCTCCTCTTCTTCCTCGTCCTCCCTCTCCCCCCCTCGTCCTTCCAACATCGTCCTCCCACTGTCGTCCACCCCGTCATCGGCCTCCATCATCGTCCTCCCATTGTCGTCCATCATCATCATCATCCTCCCCCTCCTCCCCCTCCTCGTCCTCCTCCTCCCCTCCTCCCCCTCCTCCCCCTCCTCGTCCTCCTGCTCCTCCTCCTTTTCTTTCTCCACATTATCCTTACATCCTCTCTTCTTCCGCGTTCTCCTCGTCCCCTGTTTACTCCTCCTGCCTCCCCCTCCTTTCCCAAGATAACTGCAACGCAATCCTTTTTTCCACTTTATGCTCCCCGCCTTCTCTGATCAAGGCAACTCGCCAGGGCAAAGTTGCTGGACGGGCTGGTGTGGATGCGCGGGGCTTGAAGAGGTCCTTGCGGGCTCAGACGGCATGCAAAAATCCGCCGCCGCGCTTGTGCGGCATTGGTTTGTTCAGTGAACGTGGTTTGGGT